AATAAACCGTATYACCAAACTTAGATATCAAAATGATGCAAAAAGCATCAAGTCTTTAAATCCCTGGACTCCAGGAGCTGGGGTTTTCTAATGAACACACAGCACACACAGCACCAAGGAGCTACCAGGACACACTCTGAAATCAGACTAGCTGGGTTCACTTCATGTTTGTCAGTTCCATTCCTCTCTCTCATGTACTCTCTCCACCACTGAATTCATAGTACTTACAGACACCAATGAACTTACACATAAGCCAAACCACAGTCCTTCTTATTTCCCTTTGAAAAATCAAGTAATCCAACTGCTTGGCTTTCCAGGAACAACTGTGATGATCTTTCCCACATCCTCCTTAAAATCCCTGAAACTGGTTCTTAGCCAAGCTTACAGCAGGAAATTTTTAGTTCAGGCTCTGTCCTCAGCTTGGCCAACTAGTGAGGTGAATTCCCCTGGTCCCGAGGGACCTCTCTGACACCAGGGCCAAGACTGTCTTGGCAGACCAGCTTGCAGCATTAGGGTTTGCCTGGAAATGTGCACCTGGCTTGACCTTATAACCTAAATTTACAAACACCATACAAKAAAACAAACCCCTTAGGCAAAGTGATGCTCTGCCAGACAGGCTGAGGCCTGATACAACTCTTCCCTGGGACAGCAGAACAGAGAGAAAGTCAGATCCTTCAAGCTTATCCTCTTCCCTTTGTCCCTTCACTGATAAGTGGCGGGARTGGCACCACCCAGGCTGTGTGTCAGGGCACTGCACAGCTTGGCCACAGTCACCCCACATACGGGGGACCCTCACACACATGAGCACAAGGAAGACACCAGGTTGGGCCCCTTACCGTTAGCACAGTTCTTGGTTGCTGGACATCCTGGCAGCATTGAGCTGGGCCTCAGCATATCCACCTGCAGCACAGCAGCAGAATAGGATGCTCTTTGTGCATGTGCAGGTGCCCTGGGCATGAGAGGGAGAGAAGAAGCTAAGTATTTCACAGATGGAAACTGTCCAGAACTGCTAGTAGATCACACAAGCATATCAGAAGACACTGATAAGAGGAGAAACTGCCTGAGTTGTGTCCCTAACTTGATCTCAGAACTGCTTCATGACCATAAATGTTCCTGATGACCTARAGCCTTGGCTGACCCTGGCTGCCACCCCCAGACCTGCTGAGCTTACCTGGCTGAAGGAGTGTGCAACCAGGCAGTGGCTAGGGAGGTCCCTGCCCTCCTGGCTGCACAGCTCTACTCASCTCCTAGTCCCCCAGGCAGCAGCTGCCTTATTCACTTTCCTCTTCTACCCTCTCACCTGCAGCCGCCTAATGCTGAGATGGCAAATCCTGGGCTTCAYTGAGCTCTGGGATTGGAGAGGGTTATCAGAGCAAGCATCCTGTAGCACCTCTGCAACATCCTCTCAGGGAGCCTGCTTTCAGTCTGCAGGATCCATGAGCTCCCCATGAGCTGGCCTTGTGAGCTGCACTTGGAAAAGAGCTGGTAGTGCACAAGAGGGCTGGAGCCCAGAGCTGCAGCCCCTGTGACAGCAACCTGCAATGAGCTGGAGTTAACGTGGCTCCACAATGGGGAGATGCAGAGATGCTCCTGTGCTGATCAGCTCTGCAGGTTCTGCCTCGGCACTAGGTCCCTTGGTCCTGGGACCTCCCGTCAGGACAGGGGCAGGCTTGTCTGTGCAGGGAAAGGTGGGAAAGCAACACAGATCAGAGAGACCTCACTTCTTTCGCTATTATAACAGTACTTCCCAACTTGTTTGTGGTTCCCAACRCCTGAATAGGCTGAGTAGCCTCTCTCCTCCTAGCCCTGCTTGCAGCAAGCCCTGCGATAGTGACTCAGGCAGCCCAGCTGGATCAGGCAAACTGAAAAACAAACACAGGTGGCAGTGGGAGCAGAGCAAGCCCCACTTGCCAGCCTAACACACATGTTGCTTGGGAAGGATAACAAGCAACCCACAGCACTGCTCCTCCAAGCAAGGACTCCCTTACGAGCTGGGAGCAACCAGGCAGGTCTCTCCTGGCACTGAAAGGCTGCAGCAAAGGGCAGATGTAAATGATCAGTGTGCTCCCTGGTACTCCCTTGCGTCCTGTCTAGACCAGGATTGAAATTTCAATAGCCTCCCTGCAGCCAGCAACAGCCACAGCCATTCACTCAGACGTGCGAGGTTAAGGGACACCCTGCCAACTACTACATTTCTGTCAGAAAGCCAAAACCAGGGTCACCACAAGACTGAAACCTCCTGAGAGCAAAAYGAACCCTTCTAGTCTAGAAGTGGGATGAGATGCCAGAGCTAGGAGTGTTTTCTATGTYGCAAGCAGCTCAGGGCTTAAATGCGCCAGTGGGTAAGGCCATGGCTGGGGTCCCTCTTAGCTCTAGAAAATTAAAAATCCTGGCCTTGCTTTCTGCTGTGTAAAGGAGATGAGTGCTGTGCTATTGCCCATGATGTGATAAGGAGGGAAGTTCAGGCTTCAGGCAGCTTGTAAAAGAAATCCATGTAGCTTGGAAACAGCCTGAGCAGAAGCTTTTAGATTTTCCAGACAGGCAGGAGGGATACCCGGAACCAATAGCCCTCCTCAAGGTACTGGAATGACCATGGATGAGACTTGTTCACTGTGTGTATGTCCTCCTCTATTGCCAAGTGATTTTTTTCCCCCCTTACAGTGCCTGTTGCTAATAGCAGCCAGTAGCCTGATGCTGCATGTGSTGCACGGGATAGAAAAGCTCAGACCTGCATGAGGGCCGCGCTCACCCGCCCAGGGCTGCTGCACGCCTCACGGCAGAAGCCTGTGGTGTGTTGGGATGAGCGGTGCTTCGCTGTGAGATGTCCCCGTACAGACAGGCCTTCGGGCTGCCCCGTGAGCCACAAGGAGGGGATGGAGGGTCCCCCAGCTCCTGCCCAAGAGCCCCAATTTCAGCTCTGCTGCTGCCCCTGTTCCCTCCACTTGCGGACGCAGCCCCGGGAAGCAGAGAAGGGAGCAGCGGAGACGGGAGCAGCAGCAGGGATGCAGCCACTTCTGTTTTCTCGGGAGCGCTGCCTGGAGTCGTTATGGCAACTGCAGCGGCGGGAGCCCGGGTCCCTGCTGCGGTGCGGGCCGGACCGGGCGGCCTCAGCGCGGCGGCACCGGAGCCAGGAGCTACCGGGCCGGGGCGGTGCCGGGCAGGTACAGGGAGAACCGTGGGTGCCAGGGGTCCGGGAGCTGCCGCCCGCCTTCCTGGAGCGGGGCGGAGGGGAAGGGGCCGCGCGGGGGGCCGGGCCGGGGTCCGGGTCGCGTGCAGCCCGGCCCGGTCCGTCTCTCACCGCAGCGGCGGGTCCCGGCGCTCGCCGCCCGCGTGGTGCTGAAGGGACAGCTCCGGCGCGCGCATGCGCGGCAGCTGCCGGCGGGGCCGGCGGG